ATATTGCAAGCAAACAAACGTGAAAAAAGAAGCACAGTCTCTCCAACTTATAGGACACTTACAGGACAATGTCGTTTATTAATGTGATGTTGACGCTTGGCCGTCCACAAGGTGGACTATTTTATGAGAATCATGTGGCTCTCACCACTCCGTTCGTTTGAATGTACCACATTCGCACCACAAATCGACTCGAATGCCGAAGTTGAAAATGTTTAACTGTATTACTTTTGCACGTGATTCCCCCACCCTACACCATCCCGCCCCATCCCTCAGCATTTCACGACGACTTCGCTGGCACAGTTTAACGCTATTCTATCACTTTCTCTAATCTAATTTCCTAACTCGATTTTTAGCCTGCTCAGTCCAAGCTCGAGTTTATGTTCGATGCAGCCATTCTGTTAGCTAGCAAGGTAATACGTTGCAGCTATTTTTAGTTGCCCCATTGCAATTCTCCTATCAACTGGCTCAGTTAAAACATTGCTTCCTGTCAATCATTCCGCGTCCTAAAGTTAGTCATTTTTTGTTTTAGTAGTTTCGCTCAACTTGCGCCAGATGCAAAGATCGATCTTCACGTGCTCGAGTAATTTTGGTATCCGATAGCAGTTGCCTCCTTCACAACTGTCACTTATCCTATCTTCCCATTACAATTAGTCCGTCTTCATGCTACTTCTAATACGTGAGCCTATCGAAATCATATCTAATTTAATTGTCTTATGTTCATCTTCTCATCATTTTTGGGATATTAAATTGAACATGCATTTGTGTAGAAGAACAAACTCCTACTTGCCCTAAGTAATATGTTGGCTACAAACATTACTGTCATGTTCGTTTTTTTCTAAATTATTATTACAATTTTGGGGGGCGAAACGAACGACCGCGTCATGAAGTTCTGCTTGGATGGTTTCAGTTGATCGAATTCTTTGCGCTTTGGCGTCAGCTTCATGTATCCATCCGGTTCCTTCGGCACATCGACAGGCGTCGTTCCGTTCACTGGCGCTGATCAAACCCGGCAAACAACCGAATTCGACAAGTCAGGGTAGCACCTCAACAAGCGTCCGACCCGTTGAGCTCAAAAAAGCCATCCTCCCGAACAGGCGGGCGGGGGGGACTTTTTCTCGATTGTTCCTATTATATTCGAGTCCATATCAGAACACAAGTGGCCTAGTTTGGACCACCTGTTAAGTTTAACAGACAACCGAGTAGACCTTACTGTCGGTGAATTAAGTAGAGCCAGAGTTCACGGCGCGAATGATCGCATGACGTCGTCCTAGGACCTGCTGTAGCTATAGGAACAAAAGAGCCGTCGTCATTCGAGGGAGTTGCTGAAATTTTGCCTCTGTTGGTTGCCGACCCAAAAACAGGTCACGGCTCAACAAGAACTGCGGGACCTTCGCAAACACAGAGAGCAGCAATGGGAAAACAGCATTTATCGGCAGCTGATACAAGAACATGTCCCATCTGCAACAAAAAATTTCCGTCACCGTCCCACGTTCGAAAGCACACGCTGGAAAAGCCGTTCATCTGCTTACATTGTGACTTCCGTTCAGCGCAGAAGGGTAACTTAGAAGGACACATCTTTGCTCGTCACAAAAAGGTATATCTCGCTAAAATATGATCTAATGGAGATAGCTGCAGCAATATCAGCAGGTTTGTAAAACATCGGAGAACTTAGTTATTATAGTGTGATTTTCGGGCATCAGTATTAGCAAGGCTATTTATTCCTACTTAGAATAAGCTGACACTGGCTTGGGAGATTGTCTCGCGGCGTCTAGAAATAGAAAAAGGAAGGACTTATGCGTTACATTTTGCCGATTCCTATTAACATCGCAGTTCTTCCGCGTACGGATGAGACGAGCACTTCTTATAACAATACATATCATTGAGTTAGGATAAAGAACGACTGCCATGCAGAAGTTTGTCTGAAATGAGCATTCATAATAAATAGACAGCACGAGTTGAATGAACGAGTCCTGTTCCTACTATGAAGTGTACATATATAGATTTCTTCATTCGGTCACAGTGGTATAGCTTCACATGGGTTGTTCGTGCTGACAACAAATTTGCCTATTACATTTGGAAACTATTTTTTGCATTCACACTTACATTACATAGTAGAGAAACCCCAGCCCGTGAGAGTCTGGAACGCCATTCGTGTTGATCTAAAGACCTGAGGGATTAGGAGGACGGATGGCTTATAATGGTTAAGATAGTGTCTATCGAGAAAACTGAAGTGTATGATGCAGACACGTGGCCATTTACTGTACTGTTGCAAATTAAATACTTAGTACTTTCAACTTTCGTTATAGATAAGCTCTTCCTTCAACCGCTAAGTCCTCAGGGCACTGAAATCGTATAATGTGCTGATGTGAGTGTCCTTAGATAAACTGCACATGTAACACTATGATATTCACTAAAGAATAGGAAATCAACGGGAAAACGGTATTTAGGCCAACCCATATGTATCTGCTAATCAGTTATCATAGCGCACTGATGCATGCATAATTTTATTTTCGAATTGTAGCATTCATTCTATATTTTTAACGCGAGTGCCCTTCTTTCAGATAGCTCACTGGCAGAAAGACAGACATCCACAGGAAATCCATTAGGAAACGACTGCTATATATTTCAATTGTTAAACATAACCAATTCTGGATTCAGGTGTGTTTCTGTAAAAAGCTATTTGTGGTGTCCTATTGGTTTTCAGGTGGAATATACTGGAACACTATTTTCGACAGATATTAACTACGCCGCCGCTAAAAAACGTGTATTACGTCAAAAGACAGGGAAAGGTGAAAATTCTGATATATCTCATAACTGACATGCGCTTACATGTGCTCAGTCGTGATACTGCTTTAAAAAATGACGTTTTATATATACGACAAATAAAATGGCTTATTATCTATTATTTTTACGGCATCGAACACGGCACTGAGAGCTCAGTCTACTTTTGATGTAGTGCTTATTACGAATTGCAGTCCTGCCTCCAGATCCACTTGAAATTTGTGTACCTCCGAGCGACAATGTGGATTGGCTGTTGTCAGCAGATCGAGCCCAAATGCAGATGATAGCCCAATTCGGCATCCTTCAAGGCGGGCGGGTAGATTTACTAGTTAAAAAATAAAAGACTGCAGCAGATTTATCTGCAAGCATACTTAATAGATACAAGTAGCAATGGAGGTAATAGTCCATATATAAATCGAATGACTTTAACTTTGATGGCGCTAACGACTACAGTCGTTAGAGTAAACCAAACAGCGCTTTCAGACCTCTATAGGTAAAGCGTGAGCTGGTAGTAACCAAACTTCATAGAAAAGGTAGTCTTTTTGAGGACCTTTTTTAGAAGCCAGCTTATTCAGGGACATTCGGGCAGACGTATAGTTAGTCGCAAAAGCGCTCAGCTAGCAGGCACTGAGTTGGAAATCAATAACGTACACGTTCCCGTGTTAACGCCTTGGTTTACAACATTTTGCGACATATGGTAGTCCAGATTTGAATCCGAACGTAACTACACTTTGTTTTATGTACGATGTCATTTTCCCGGAGCAGTGCGTAACGGTTTAAATATTTAACGGGCTTTGACTTTCTCAACCATATGAAATAGCATCTTGATGCCCATTTCGCAGTTCATATTGCCAGTGTCAAGCTAGCTGTAAGTTATAAATAAAGACGCACTTGCAAGAAAATAAATCCTTGAGAAAACATTTTCTGAGATACCCGTGGCTACTTCGTAGAAACTCTGAACGAATTTGGGTATATTCCATGCTGATAAGACGAAATCGCGGTAGCCACAACATAGCAGTTATGTGGAGTTGACAGACTCAGATTAGTGCTGTGCGTGCCGTTCTGAGAGAACGAATCAAAATAGTTCACAGCTCTGGTAAAAGAATTATCTCTAGAACCGTCTGAAGATGGTTTTTACCTAGAGTGGGCGAACACGAGATGAAAATAGATAAGGGAACGATCTAAATGGGAAAAATTATTAACATTGGCTGGATAGACAAACTGAAATGCTGTAAGGTCTTCATCACGCTCTTTGCCGTTGTAGACGACGCAAGGAACTTTACGCTTGGCCCCATGCGGCTTCGGGCCGTCAACGCTTCCAGTGGTTTCCTTGAATAGTTTTCAAACTCCTACCCACACGTTATTAGCGTCATCGAACTATTGCCATATCCTGTTTGTCTAACCAAAGTATTATCAAACCTTGATAGATATTTGTGCAGGTTTCATCGGACTTTCTAGCTAACGACTGCTAGCGTTTACAGCGAGCTCCATTAGACATATCTTAAATGGGTAATTGCGCCCCGTTCCAAATACGTTTCCCACGTTAGATGATGCCCGTTGACAGCATGGTATAAAATAACCATGGAATGATCAAAATATTGCGACGCGCTTGGAAAATCGAAAATTGTCAAAACAGTAATTCCATGACGCCAGGCGGCTGAATTGGAAATGTCACTTAGTTAACCCAATTGAGAAAATCATCATTGTCTATCAATACCAAGTATTTTCTTGCTAAAGACACACGTCATTTATGACAATAATGATAATCATGGAAAAATCTACTCGTAGCTTGTTGTTTGCGGATGACTTTAGGTTTCGATGGCGGGTACCCGACGCAATGAACAACGAGTATGCATAGTTAAACGGTCTGGGCTGATCGAAAACGCCGAACAGATATTATAGAATTGATTTAACGAATCTGGCACGAATCTATTAAAAAGCCAAATAACTCCTAAAATACGGGACAAGTTCAAAAGCACCAGGTCTGTTTGGGATCGTCGAGAATGTGCTCATGGAAGGACCCAAAAAGTATGGCTCCGACTAAGCTTGACGGGGCCTGCTTGCGGCGAAGATAAATGAAGTGTATGTTTATCTGTTTTGGCGCTTGGTCTTTCTTTTCCTGATAACAAAGTTATTTTTGGCCGTTCTACAGCTAGTTCGCGCTGTCCGCGAGGATCAGCTTATAAAAGCAATCCGTAACGTGTATTTTCTAATTTCGGGCTAACTTTTTTCTGTCTTCAGTTTAGGTCAACTCCGCCACTCGAGGGAGCCGCCGAAGGGACGCATTACATCATTACACAACAGAAAAATTGTGCAACTTATGACTTAGCATAGAGCAGACAGATTGACCCGTTACCCGAATATACAAAGCAAACTACTTTTCGCCATTTTACATTACACGGGCAACTACTGGTAATAAATAGTTTGATGACGATGACGACTACATATGATGGCAGTGTCAGTGATAACAGTTCGGGTGAAGAATCCGCTGGGTTAGTATGTCGAAACACAGCAGATATTTCAGTATTATATTGTACCGGGTCGGTGTTCCCGTCGTACGTGAACCGGTAAGCGGCTGCTTATCACATTAACCGATATAGTATTGTGTGTAGATAGTTTTGTGGAACATATTCGCTGGCACAATACAGAAGACATCGCTCACTGAATGCTCAAGGGTATACAACACCGTACACTTAGCGGTAAATAACAACAGCCTGCTATCTTTACTAACCATTACTGATACCATAAAATGCCAATGCAAAGCACAGTTGAGACGGTATATTACGATGAATGTACACCGTTACCTGATATAGGACTGAAAAGGATTTAATTTATCGGCCTGAAGCCAGCCGAGTGCTAAAGTATGAAAATGAGCGCACTTGTGCCGATGCCAGCGCGCATGCGATAAAATGGATTAATAATTAACTTAATATACCAATAGCGAATACATTGGGGGAAATCGCTCGGTACCAATTTCAGCCGCCGTTGGCAGCGACCGTGTTTCTAGTTGTCGCGAAATGCTCCGCTAAGTACGCCGCCGGTATACAAACCTTTGTTTTCGAACTGTTTACTTTGAACGTGGCGTTAAGAATGTCATAACAGTGGCGCGTTTTCACAGATTGAAAGTGTTGACAAAAGCAAGAAGAGATCCTGCAGTGCAGAGTTTAGCCCGGCTACAACAGTTGAATTCAGGACAAGCTTCCCTATACGGTTTTTTATTCTTCTTATAGGGGATGTGTGGAATACGATGAAAGGAAAATGAGAAACCGTCTACAGGCTTTAAGCAAATAGCAGCTGCTAATCGTCTACGACAATGTACGTAAAAGCTACAAATTGTTTGTTCATCATAAGCGAAACGTGCCACGCTACCGATACGCATCATTATCGGACGAATCCTATTTTTCTTTTGTCCTATGCGCGATTTACACGATAGCGATTCTTTAGTGAAACGCATGTAGTAATAAAAGTAAGTTCACCTCGTCATGCTAAAAAAGGCTGAAACTTAATTTGACAGATGCTGACTTAAATATAGCGATAAACCATAACAAATTTAGACATTTTCCAATTTTTCATTCCAAACGGACATATATATGCTAAAAGTAATTTTTGAATCTATCGTCGCAAAAAGAAGCTCACCATTAAAAGGTGAGCGAATTTGCCCATTTCGAATGGAAAACCCATAGACTAGTCAAAATATACGGGCACACCATGGCAGACAACAATGATAGCCATTTTGTGTATATCTGAGAATAGCTAGTTTTCCTCAGTTACATTTTTTCTTCAAATGAGAAATCTTCAGATTAACTAGTATCTGTCATATGACAATATACTTGTAGATGGGCAGTTAAATACATAGGAAGTATGCTTGATGTCAACTGGTTCAACTGGTCCTGATGGTAAGGGGCTCGCAAACTGTAGTGGCAAACGTAGGTAAGTTGTGTATGGCTGTGGGCATTTCACAGTGACGGTTATTTGAAATCCAACATAACTACAGTCAAGTCCGCTCGATGACGCATCATCACAAGCCTTAATAATAATTAGTCCTATTTTCCGTGCTGCTTGCTCGAATCGAAACCGTATAACCTACTAGTCAACTGAACACATACGTGTATGTACGTGACAGATTATTGTAAGGGTCAAGCTCTAAGTGAAGAGACAATTGCGGAAACAAAGTAGATGTAACGAATACGTCGTGCTGTTCTTCGATACATGACTTCTTCTGATGCACTTCGAGCCGGAAGGCAGCCGAAACCTGAGGTAACACTGAATGTATTCGAGTCCAACGGGCTGGGTCCCCCTTTCTCACGTGAGTCGACCTTAGTGACCAATTTCGTTTACATTGTATATACACAATCATTTAAGCTATTATTAAACAGATATTACAGCTGCTATTTTTAAAATGTCACTTTAGCGTAACATTTTAGATAAATGCCAAAATCCTTTATAGCTCTGGAGCAGTATGCATTCAAACAGAGGGATTCTGATACGGCAATCTTCACAGTTCTTTCAAGTAACGTCAAAAGATTCGCCACACTCGAAGACCGAACGTGAACCTTCGGTTTCGTTGTTTCATTAGTACTACCCTCAAAGTCTCAGAGATGAGACTCATCATAGAACTACCTATCTCAATTAATATAATAGGTTATATGAAATTATTCACCGATTTTACGGCATTCACGAATTGCTTGCTATCGCCGATATGGTTTTACTGGCGCAAAAGCAAAAGCACAGTATTTTCAAGATATGTTCATCCCTAAGATTGACCTTTAGAGACAACGAACTAGGACGCTCACCTACTTGGCTTTTGGAAAAGCCATATTTTTGGATCTGCAATATCGCTTGAAAACGACTTGAAAAGGTCGTGCAACAAAGTGATCGTGCCACCATTCTTTTGTGATCGGTTCGACCAAAATTGAAGAAGAATCTTGTCTCGAGTTTTCCAGGAGTAATAACCCTCCATATTGTTTTTCAGCTCGTATGCTTATTCGGCAGTGTACAACAACAGCAAAAAAGTTACAAAATAAAGAACACTGATCAGAGCAGAGCGTTCAAAAGCTAGCCTCACAGCTCTTTCCATAACGCGGATGTCGCTTCTGAATGAAGCAGTATGCAGCCGACAGTTGGTATATTATAGCAACAAACCATATCGACGTATTCCGAACCGACTGTATCGCCGCAAACACGCGTTTAGAAAAGGATCAATACGAACTCAACGAAAAATTCGCAATACGTTGGTAATATGGTGCGAAGAACTCTTTGCTCTGATAGCCACGAGATGGAACCACCCAGAGATGGTGCGTATCAATTTCTAAGCATCGCGACCCTCGTAGCGAAAGAGCACGCGGCAGGTAGCTATCAAATAGCAAAAGAGTACTTTATGTACGCGCTCCTGGTGTACTTTTGTGCTTAAACGATTCGTTTCTATTCGTTCGTTATTTCAACTTTTTTCTTCAAACATATTTAACTGTCATAAGCGTGCGCGGCGTTACTTTTGCAGGGACCGACGGCTCAAGCCATTGCTAGACAGTTGCTCGGTATGGATATGGACCTTGACATTTCACTTGATGAGGAGCGCAGGGCTGCTGTAGAAAAATTCAAACGCGGCGAAACATTAATAGATATGTCCAATGTAGCGCGCAAAAACTACTATAAGCTCTTTACCAATATACACGTTAGATTCGAAGTAATTGAGAGACCCGCATTGGGTCAGCAAATTGCTAGCTGGATCTCGATAGGCTATCCTAGAAGGAGGCCTTTTCTAATTAGAGAACTCAAAGCAAAACTTTTACCTATAGACAAAAACAGCCTGGTATTACCAAATTCGGCCGTACTTATCTGTGATTATTGGGGCCAAACCGTCTACCAAGTTCAGCCAACGAGAATTGAGTCTCGTGAGATCGTCAGCGACGAATACTTTGTAACCATTGTTGGAACGCGCGGTAAGATTCAAGTGCGTGGTGAGGGCGGTTCCGTCAGTATGAAGCAGGAATTTAGAGAGACAGTTTTCAAAGCAAAGGTTTCGTTGTCCTGGTGTTCTGCCAGGAATAAGCTAAACCGGCTTCTCCGTCGCTCCCAATATAGAATAGCTTCATTATTAGGACTGGTGAATTAAAATTAAACACATTACAAAAAGAATGTTTAACGTTTTCTAAATTTGTTAAACGCTTTCAGTGTTTATTTTTGTATGGTGTGATGCTAGTCAGTGACTAGGTAAACCGGTATTCCCGAAAAGCCCCTGGATATTGAAAGGCTTCGCGTAGATTCCGATGTCCTTTACGTTTTTTCTGATGTTAAGGATTCATTAGATATGCATCATTCAACACTAACCAGGACAGGTATTATCCGGTATAGTACATACGTATGGGGGGCCTCATACAATGCATTTGGACCCACTATGAAAACTGTAGGTTTCTTATTAAACCAGGTTCGTAACAACAAAGAAAAGGAGCTTTGCGCTAAGTATAGGGGGTTTTATTTAGCACTTCCAGCAGCTTTGTGTGATTAGGTGCTCAGTATTATCTCTTTCTAGGCAAAAAATCAAAGTCTAACCGGAGGTGCTCTGACAGGACCTACCCGGAGAAGCAGTTTCCGTAATTTCAAAGATATGATACTAAGATTAACAGCTGTTTGCATGGTTGCTGTGTTGTTTCGTAAAAAATTGAAGAAAAAGACATCTTGAGCGTGAGGATTATGCTGAGCCTCTATTGGCCAGGTTATCTTTCTCTATCAGTCGAACGTTGATTTTATAAATGACTTCCTGTTGAGCCTTCTACTTCTTTGAGGTGCATCCGGTGCTAAGATCTGGCCCGGTTCAGATTATTAGCAATTTTTTTATCGGGCAAGATTTAAAAAAAGCAGGGATTTTTCGGAGCAGCTAAGTGTTTTTCTTTTTTGATTTTATCGAATGTCCTTCAACGGATAAGCGGCTAGTTCCATTTCGGAAGTTTCGCGTATTTCAGAACTCCATTTGCAAAAATAAGCTGAGAGCAAATTGCATTTGATTGAAGTCTTCAAGTTACATCAGTTATATGACTGACTACCATATAATCCTTAGGGTGCGATCTGGCCTATACGGCAAAATATCAGACTATATGACACACTATGTATTAGTTTCTACAGCATACCTGATGCCATGTGTCCAGATAGGTTTTTTGATATCCGGTGTGTCTAACCGAAATTAGGAACAGAGAAGAGTCTGAATCATTTATGACACTCTTCACGAACCTTTGATTTGGTCATCTCTGGGTAAGAGTATTTGATTTTCCAATGATTTTATTCCAAGGCCTGAGAACCTCACGTTCCAAATAGATTAGGCCTAACGATCCTTCGATCCATTATTTGACAGTGTTTATCTGTTGTGTTGCAGTGTTTGGCCTTGAAATTGTCTGCTTATCTCGAAATAGGACACACATATTTTATCATGTAAAGTAATAAAGAAACCATGCCACGGGTAGATCTTCGAAAATTCTTGGACGTTTGTCCACTTTCTCTTGTTTCTCACCTTGAAAATACTAAATTTTATACATTTTAGTATGTTTACATTTAGTATACATTTATTTACACAGGATAATTTGACGAACTGTAAAATTACAGCTCTTCTACTACTAACTAGCTTCTACTAGTAACTTATAACATTTCGGGGACCTTCTACAGTGTGCGATGGTGCCTGTAGTATGATGAGAACCATTTCGTATGCCTCATTTATTTTGCTAATTCGTATCACAAGATCTGCAATCATAATGATAATATCAATCTCATCAATTCTTGTTCTTAAAAACGTTTTTTATACTTATTCACATGACACACCATTATTTTAAATAAATTTGGTTTTTGCCAGAAGCATTCACAGAATATCACAGATGCATTTGTGTCCTATACAACGCATACAGACAGCGTCATAAATCTGTACCTTACATTTTAACGTGGGAAAAGGTACTAATAGAAATAAACAAGAGGTATTGCTTGTTGAGTTACTAGGAAAGCTAATGGTAAGTTTGCCGGAAGCAGCAAGCACCTCAACCAGGAATTCTTGAAGAGCCTTCAGAGAGGCGTGATGTAAAGGTTTATCAGCCTTTGAATGCAACTGTTCGTCCAAGGGGCAGAGTTGATTTGCAACTGCGGGGGCAAGATATTATAATAATAAGTAATTAATCTCTCCCACAAGCACAATAACGTGAACAGCTTTGGGCAAAGTACGTTAGATAAATATAGGCGACAGGATAGAGCAGCAATATTGAATATGCTTTATCACAGCGATGTTCTGGCACAGGATTTCGTTTTTGGTTAAGGAGTAAGCCCTTGTCCTTACCTTCGATTACTTTAAGACATGTCGATGCCATAGCGGGCGATATTTCAGTATAACTCTGCTTCTTCAGAAAGATCAAATGTATAACATATTCGTAAAATCAACACTAGTATTTGAAATATTATTTTTTCAAGTTTAATTGAAGTTGTCAGAAATTGTGAAAATGTTCGCGCTCTTCGTTAATCCTCTAGCAGAAGAGGGTACGGTGATTATAAATAAAAATATAATAGGCTCTTATTATATTGAAATGAAACGCTCTACGTCAGGACACATTATGCGCTAAAGAAAGAGCTGTCCCTGTACTGATTCGATTTGTTTATCAATCCCATTTTTGTAACTCAAAAAGGAAACCTAAATATTACTACTAACTGACAAATTGTTTTCGCTAGACCCGTTTAGAATGCCAACGTGTTTATGCCACGCGTTTGTCATAATGTCATCTGTATTCCTTCTATTTTCTTTTTTCATTGTCTCCTTTTCTATTAGACACTAAAACAAGTGTACATAGTTCAATCAAAGTTGAATACGATTGCAAAAAGTTATTTTGCACTGTGCTAGTTCATTTTCAATTGGAGCTAAACTCTATCTGAAAAATCTTAATTGGCTAGATAATAGTAGGTAATTAGAAGCTTCATTTTTCTGCACATTTTCTTTTTTTTTTGTTTACTACTATATCGTTCGGTACCCGATACCGACCTTAAATATACCAGTCGTTTCTTTAAACCAAATAGTTCGATACGCAGTTACAACTTACGCTTGAAGAAATTGTTGGATGCGGTAACAGTGGAAGCATTGTGCTATCCTTAGGGTTTAAGATCACGCTAGATTTATCAACGGTCTACTTTTTTCTCGGCGAACTGTATTGGAGTAACTAAGAGAGGCATTATAGGAACAAATTCGCTTCAAATCCATCTCAAAGACATCGATGCGCATATGTGGACGCGTATGACGGACGATTCAGGTGAGGCTGTCCTGACCTCTTTGATAGTTGATAACATTATTGATTACATGTAACAGATTTGAAACTCTTCCAGTGCAACCATTTTTATAACAAAGACAACTTCTGAGTAGAGCTTTAGCCCATGTGCTATGCGCAATACGTAAAATAAATTACCTCATATGTATGTTCACGTATACACGAAAGTCGGTATCTGACTATCCTGCGTTCAACGAACTATAAAGCAATAATTTACTCTGTCCAAACATTCATGTGTTTTTTTGACATAAACGCTTCAAAATCGTTGCTGCTGCTATGGAAGGAAAGAACAGAAACATCGAAGTAAAAGCTACGAGATATAGCGGGATTTACACACTGGCTTCCACGATTAGCTTAACGTGTTAATCGGTATGAAAACGAAATTCAGCAGTTAACAAGATGCGTTAGGTAGATATCTACTGGGGAAGCAAACAGCTTCTTCTAGACTGACCATTATCACATACCTATTATATTATTACTTCCATATAAAAAATGATTTTTGGGCTTGTTCCGCTCCCCTGGTGGCGGTACATTACCTCGGCAAGGACGAACCTCCATTGACGCCGTTGACAAGCTTCTGTTGGTCGACGTCAGTCAAAAACTCAATGCAGTACATTGCAAGAAGGATATGTGATAGGTTCTGCGACTGAACGGAAATGTAGACGAGAATATAGGCTACCATTAGCGGTGGCGAAGCTTAAGGAACACATGGCGCCCATAATGTGTGTCCATCAGGCTGGCATATACTGAAGGTCGGTGTGGTAGTGGATTTCGTATTCTCCTAATAACTGTTTTCTAAATTGTCGTTTGCGGGCGCTGGTAGCATACATATCTATGAACATTTCACAGATTAGCGTTACGATGTTAAAAGAATGTTCGTGGGTAGGTTAGATTAGGATTTTCCTTGCCCAAAGCATAGCCAGGCATCATAATCGAATTCTGAATCACCTATTTATCCTCATTCATTTATAAAAACTGTCTTAAAAATAAATTTGTCATTGATACGAAATAATGACATTACTGGCTGATGTTCGCTTTGTTCAGGTGTGCGCCGTTCCGGAAGACCTCGACGTATTGAGGTATATAGCCATTCAAGTACACGGTGGATCCAAAGGACCAGTTCAGAGTTGTTCAGTTTGCTGTGAAGTGCTCAACGAAGTACGTGAACATTTAGTCCTAGCCGTCTGTTATACCCTGCGCTTGTCTCCGAAATGTTAACCCATATTGTACGAACTGCAATTTTCTAAAGGCTATACTATTACTTGGAATGGAGGGGTGGAAATTTTCGCTGCTGAATTATCCTTTCCGGCTGAAGTAACTATAGAAGAAATCAGGAAGCCAAAACACGGCCTTCGCTTAGATCGGGGGGGGGGTGCATAATTAAAATTCAAAACTTTGGTGATGTTGCAAAAATTGAGATAAGGATCCATGCGGTGCAATTTTTCATTTAAGCAATTTTAAGTACGTCTTTTTAAGAGCATAACGACCAGGCGCTTGATTGTCGTAAGAATGTTATGTAGGTTCCAAAAGGAAACATAAACGTTATATAACTTTACGATGGCCATTTTCATTTACACGGTTTCGTTATATAAAAAGCAGTACCATGTCAATATTGCGCGACGGCGACGAAGGACTAATGCTTAAGTTTCCATAGGAAAAAAATCATAGGAAACAACATTCATCATTTTTGGTTCTGAAAAGTAAAGGAAGCATTAAACTGAACTAAATTAATTAGTTCATACACTTAAACACATGCATTCGGTTCTTTCGAAATTCCTATTGATGTTTGTTCTTCGCTTTTAGGAGCCATTACAAGTTGTTCCCGTATTTCCCGTCCATTATACCCATCCATGCCGGAAATACAGAGCTGGTGGAACCCCTCCAGATTACTCAGGTCAATTCGAAGGCGAAGCATCTCTCGTTGCAACTTCAAAGCTTGTCAAAATATTTCAGGAAACCTTGTGAGGTTTACGAGATCAGCTTAATAGTAACGTGGAAGGGTCCTTCCGCCAAATTCCCTACAGTTAGAACTACAGAAAGATGCATAACAATTTTATACAAATCGGAAAAATAAATATCTCAAAGGAGCCTTAATTAGTAGGGACCTACTAGCTGCCATGACTCACATGTCTAATTTAAATCTCAACGATACAGAAGGTTGGGAAAAGGCGGGCTAATTATTTGCGTTTATGGACGATGCGTACAAGAAAGAACTTCAGGAATACGAAAGGATGTACTCTATCAAAGCACTGTGTATCGACCCAGAAGGTCGTAACACCCTTTACTAAAATGGAGGATATGGCGTTAGAGGACAAATCGATTGTCCTTCAGCCCAGAATCTTGCCGATGCGGTACGTTGACGCAGGGTGCTGTTGAAGAACTATCTGCCGCGCGGCAAACAATGGGAAAGAGTTGGAATTTAGATTAAGAGAGTGCCGGTTACAAGAGTACCTATAGTTGTACAAAATATAGTTTGTTTATGATAATTGATATTCGTGTTTTCTCAGATCCCATCTTTGTCCCGCTGCCAAATACCTATATTTCAAGTCAGACATGAATAATCTGGGTTCGGAACCGGATATAGACACGCTTGGACTGCTGATTTAAATGCGTCCGCTGGAATTTTCGTGTCCTGTCCAAATTTACATCTAGGGCTTCCATTAAACCCTGGTTGTGCATTTTTTCTCAGAAAAATTGTAATGCAATTTTCCATGTAAACACGACTCGAACGATTCATTTTTGGCTCTTTACCGCTCATTGAATATCAATATTTTGTTATGAGCTTACCTTTAGGCGCACTGTAAGTGTTCATTTTCCTTCTGCCTCTAAAATTCCGCGTATCTGTGTACACATTAAAAACAAGGAAACTGTTATTATGTGCCTTTGTTGCTTCCGTTGAGACCTCTATACTCATACATTGCACAATTGACAAGATCTACACGCTAAACTCAAAAGGGACAGCAACCCTTGTCAATTAGCTTCTTAGTTTATAATTACGTTTACTAACATGAGAACGAAATTGACGTCAAGTGTGTCAGGTGTGGAGCAAATTAAAACGACGAGGATCGAACGGGTCTTTTGTTGGTCGGCAACAATTGTCAACCTCAAAATCTATGCTACGATCAGGTCTAGATAATATCAGTATGAGAAATTTACAACAGCTGGATGCGTCGTTTATAATGACAAAATTTGAGAATGAGATGATGATGCTGATGGCGTACATTATTCTCGAAGATCTTTTCTATAAACCGCCAGAGCTAACCATACTTTTTAATAATAATAATAAGGAGCAGAAATAGATCATATTATTTAATCGGACTAACCTCACAATTTATAGCAGTCAGAAATTTTTTATTTGACTATTACTGACTAGACTTAGCCATTTGTCACAATTTAGGATTGTTCATTCACTTTGATTTCAAATTACATTAATCAAACTATACTATGCGATTCCTTTTTTATTTAGGTGTGCGACGTTTTAGAGAACTTTGAAGTATTAAGGTACAAGTGCATAAATATGCGACAAATCTGGAATATCAGCTCTCATCTCAAATCTGCAACTTCAATGTTACTGCAGGAGGCTGAACAAGATACGGGAGTTCTGTGAGTGTTTAACGTTAATTAATTCTTGTGAAACCATTTTCGAAAGTCACAAAAAACCTAAGCCAATCGTCAATAGGAACAAAACTAAACTAAAATTTAGATTGTTTAATTTCGATATCTATATATAGTGACATGTTTCGAATGCTCACTCGATCCATCAGTTATACATATATGGAGTATAAACTCCATACTACTTTTTGACGCAAGATTGGTTTAAGCGCGGGTAACAAACGGTAACTTAAATCTTCATTGTGTATCGCTACATTTCTTCGCCACTTCGAATTGTTCATAATTCAGATTGAATTCGGTAGGCTTTCCTTGCTGACGGTTATCAGACATCTTAAAAGATCGACTGATATTTCTCCAGCAAACCACCGAAATCAGTAAATCTTGACTTCGACAATGAGTAACGAAGCGCACAAGGAAGAAAAGTAAAACGCGAACCATGAAATATGCTGCATTTTTCACAAATTCGTCCTTTGAGAAGTGATTACGTTTACGTAAGACGTGTTTACAAAAAGAAATATTTGTAAACGTTCGTCAAGCCTGTACATCTTTGCGCAGATTTTCGCTGCAGCGATAATTTGGTTATGCCGCTGTGGCCCGTACAAGATCACTCAGTTCAGTTCCAACATGGCCTTATAATGTGACGCTCTTGTGGTGAGAGTTAATAAAGCGCAGTTATGTGGGGATCACAATCCATTACCGTTTTTTAATGGGGTTCATGTAAAGGATCTTGTTTCAGGTATGCAAGAAGGCCAAGATCTAGGCGTTTGCAAAAATAATCTATCCTGCTTTTTAGAACCTGATCGCAAGCCAATAGACGCTACACCTAAATAGCTTGTAAACACCTAAAATCCGGATGTTTGACCTTCTAGAACTGCATATGCATTCAACCTGCTTCACCCGATATACCGAGAGTACTTCCGATTCTTTCTTACGAAAGATGTTGGTCTCCGTCCCCGGGTGCCACTGTCAAGTTAGTGGTACGGATTAAACGTCATTTCTAAGCCTACTGCTTATGAAACCGATCGACGATTCTTAGACTGCGTTTCCAACAGTTACGAAAGACTCGTAGACTCAATGCATCCTATCACCGATTGAAATCAAATTTTTTTTGGAAATGAACAAGTATTTCACGCTAAAAATTCTCTTTTTTTTTCCCTACGTTCAAAAAAATTAAATGCTAATGGAGACCCATGATTTTACTGTAATTATACGTATTCGTATTATATATATGTACCTGTCACTTCAAAGCTTTTTTGAAGGATTGATGAATCAAAATATAATTTGGACTTAATGAACCTGATTGGCTTTACCAATGTGATGGCATCACAAGCGGTAGCCAGCTTCGATGTTTTCTTTACCCTTTCCAGATTGCCGCTATTGACCAAATTAGAGAACAATCGCCTTTTAAATGAGAATGAGTATACTCTATATATAGGTGACGTCGCACTAGATCGAATGCTACCTACAGGACTTCGCTCTCGGAAGGCCAATTGGAAAGGACGCGGGCTAAAGACCAAAAAGTTTAATTGAAAATTAAACTATAAAGCCAAAAGACTTTCCCTCTGCCGTCCAACCGTTCTAGAGTTGCAGATTTCTAAAATGCAAAGACTAGACTAGCATTGCCCAACACCAGCATGCGACCATATTTCGCCATTTCTAGGCAAATTCAATCTCGTATCATGTTTAATATGGGCTCTTCAAGAGTCTGCAACCCGACAGTAATGCAAAGAAAAAAAAAAGAGTGCTAAATGGAAACAAAAATCAGTTTCTTACAGCTACGCCGAATCAAGCATCTAGAAAACGATAATAATGTAATAATGCAATCCAGAGCTGCCGCCGTTCATAAAGCGGATCGGCTACTTTAAAATTGCGCCGGGTGATTGCGCTCTAATGACATTTGTTTCCTTCCTCTGGATGCTGCTACAAGCTACTACAAACTCTTTCTGTATTTCCTGAATTTCTTCACTCATAAGAGAGATCTCGAGTCAATAGAACAGCAGCATATCGTCTTTTATCATTATAATTGAAAGTAACTCTGAAAATAATCTGAAGTAATGGAGCTGAAATTCTACACATCAAGTTAAAATGACCAAAAAAATTTTGTTTGATTTGAGAAGTATCAGAGAACAGTTAAACTGAACCGTAGAGTAAATGACGCTCTTTAATTACAAAATCGCAACGGAATGCTTAGCAAGAAGATCGACTCCATATGGAATAAGTTATAGGACAGGCATAAGAGGACGCAATTTATCCAAGTACATGTTAATGTTGATCCAGTATTTCGCAACACTCTTGTCACAATATAAACAATGGCAACCGAAAACAAAATTGCATCGTCTCACCAATAAGGTCGATCAATCTAAGACGAAATTAGAGCAGTTCGGGTCGCCCGATGAGTCACAAGAATAAGTCGATTAGATGTATGCCAAAGTCAGTCTGCCACAGTGTGCCCTCGAGTAATTAAGAGCTAGTAACTGTAGATTACACGTCAGGAACACAAGTATCCGAACGATTTCTGCGGTACCTGTCCACAGTTTAGAACGAAAAAGACAAATACCACCAAAACCATTCCCGTACAGGTTGACTGACACGTATAATAAATGTAGGGAAAATAAATTACAAAAACACGGTTGCGCAGCAGCATGTATCCATTTTCTCTCATTGGAATAGAGTTAGGTCCTGAAAAATCCGATCTGGATAGCGAGAAACATTTAAGACCTATCTTAAACGTCTAATATCCATGAAAAATATCTAATATCCGGTTTAAGATGGCCCTTAGACATGCATACCGTGTAGGTTCGACCGACTGCAAGTTGCTTTTTATACGGCTCTGCCTGACAACGAAGCAAGCCGCAACTGTAAATGTTCATTCAAAACGGCAACCCCTATTCTGAGAGGTAGTGTAGTCATAATACTTCGGCCTGTCGAATGAATAAATAAGAAGTTTTTACCAAACGAAAATTTCAAATGTGCTGTTCTTAGCCGGTGCTTACAATTCTCACAGAGATTCTACTTACAATTTTACCTAGGTGTAACAGAGCAAAGACATCGCTGGCGTACTTGTTACACGAGGATATCCGGTCTTTATTCACCCAGCTTCAAATTATTAGTAGTATGGTGTATTATTAATCTTTAACTACGATTGCTGTTCGTGTATCTACATATCAACAGTGAGCCAGTTCTGTTATAACCACAGGTTTTGGCCAATATATATAGTACAACGCCGGTTAAACTTTGTCGAACAAACCGTTTCTTTCGATCGCTTTCTTGCTTCAACGACCCCGTCTCGGTAATATCACCATTTCAAAATCCACGCCGACACAGCCTAGTATATGTGTGCATATATTCTCTATATGTACATAGGACAAGCTACAGGGGAACAAATAACTTCATAGTACGACATGTGACAGTAGTTGTAATAAAATGAAGTACCGTTTTTATATTTCCTTTATATTTCTACGGCAGTCGTTTGTGCTGCCGTATAAGCAAAAACGAACTTCAACAGATTATTAAAATAAACTGACCGAAAATTTCCCAAAAAATCAACATATTGTCTCGAATTATTTTATATTTTTTGGAGCTTATTATCTTAGCGATTTGGTAACAGCATTGGGTAGATTTGCTTAGTGCGTTGTCATTGTCACAGGGCAGTTGCGCAGCGTTTATAATAAACAGGTAAATCAGACGTTTTCATGTGCCTCAACGAAGAATATTTGGATGACTAGCGAGGACACATAATAGATGAACCATCAACCGCGTCTGTTTGACATATTAAATAAAAGCCATAAAGGGATTTAAATAAAAATTATTGTGTGAGATTACAGAAATGATCATAACAAGACTAGTCGTAACGCATCCAGCGCTAACCAAGCCTTTCTTGATTAACAAGTATGCTATTACTATATAAGTAGACTCAAGGGCAAGGCTGTAGGAGGGACACATGAAAGAGAGAATGAGAGGTTCCTTCTAAGATTCTAATAAATAAACGAAAATGAAAATGATAATAATAACATGTATATTAAATAAAGTATTTCATTCGATAGAGTAATAACATCTTTATGTACGGTTATGACAGCAAAAACGGAGAATGAGAAGAATATAAATTAACATACCTGGCAATAACACGCAGCGGTTATCGAGACCACTCATCACAGTTAAGAGGGCACCCCTTCTCCTTGAAGCAGTTATCCTCATGTAAAACGCAATCTCAAATAAAAATACAATCTACTACTAGCAATACATTACGCACTCTTCTGCCAGACTAAGGGCTAATACAATAGTATAAGATATAGCAACTACTAACGCTCAACAAAAGCATATGAATAGCATAGGCATGTGTGAACGAGTGAGGTGACCCTATTAAGTCTCATTTGGTATCGATTATTGCCACCGATGTCCAAATGTGTGATTCTGGCCACTGATACACTGCGCAGTTTAAAGCTTGTTTACCTACATGTATTACGCTACATTTGGCGAGATCGTGCATGCGAACATGGCACAAACTGAGTTAGTACCTGCTTTTGGGATCGTCAGGCCGTCCATTATACAAGCGTACGGACTACCTAGCGGTGAACTCAGCTTCACAAATTATAGGACAGAATACTCCACAATATGACAGTCTATGAATACTAAATTAGGACACACATACTCGCACTACGGGGCACAATGCATATCTTTTTCCTCCTTTTCTTATTCGTTGTATAATACACTTGCTCATACATATTTCATTTCATTGGAGGATCTGTCTATATAGAAATCTACCTATCTAAGTGGTATTTTATCAGTAGTTTTCTCCCAGTCTAGTTTTTGCTTTCTTTCACCTAGCTGTTGATGTCTTGAATTGTTGTCTTTTGTCTGTCTAACCCGCACATCATTCCATATTGCATCGAACAGTATCACCATTGATATTACTATATCTAGTGCAGCGAATGCTTATTGAGGAGATGTGCCTTAAGGCTGCCTTTGGTGCTAGCTCGATAGTCACAGTGTGGACAGGGAAACGGTCGTTCTCTTGTATGCGATCGCATATGCACGCGAACGTCATAGCCATCACGAAATCGTCGGAAGCATACGGGGCATGTTTTCTTATCGATGGCGCCGGTGCTTGCGCTTCCGGCATTAGCACTGCTGCTTCCGCCTATAGCACGTAGCGGGCCCGGCGCAATGTGTCCACCGAGACGCTGATTTAGTCGAGAAAGCGCCGCTGGCGAGTTGATCAGCTTCTGCTGAGGCCAATACTTCTGTACGAGGAGGCTTCTCTGCGCTGAGGGAACTGCACGATGTGACACCGCGGACGTAGACGTCCGCTGTAGTTGATTACCTGCTGTGATATTGGTACCATGATGCTGCCGATGATGAACCTGCGACGGTTGTTGCTGCTGCTGCTGGTGATGATGATCATGGTGTCCGTGATGATGATCTTGAATGTATTCTTGGGACTGTGTCGAGAGCTGTTGCTGTTGTTGCTGAGGGTTTGTCGTATATTCCGAGGAGTAATCTTGGTCGATCAGTGACTCGTCATCAGCCAATGACGAAAGCACGAGTTGGCCCCGTGGGTCGTCGGCATCGTGTTGAGGGATCGATGAATAATGGTGTCGCTGATGGATGCTGGAGGACGAGCCGGTGCGGAAATCGTCTATTTTGAGGGGGGCAATTGTTGATGCGCCGCGTCGCTGTCTATCGGCAGACTCAGTTGCGTAAGGGGCAGGCGCATACCACGATTCATCGACAGGTCCTGCATCTGTAAAACATTAACGATAAAAAGTAAATAGGATAGGTCACATATAGGAATGGATCAGGCTTGATCACTGTATGACGGATAACAAAGAAATATTTAATATAATTAGATAAGCAATTGATGAAGAAGAATGGAATGATGAGTCGCCAGAAAGAACTAATTTGGTAGACCAAATAAAAATATTCAAGCATATTTATTCGATCACGAATCGGTTGGGACCCTTTTCTACATTTGAGCACTCGTCATTACATAGCCTATTTATGTGTGATAAGCTGCAGCTTCATTTATTTTATGAAGAATAGTACGGCAACAAAGCATACCTTAAGATTCGTTTAGATTTGGATTGTATCGTTACTATAACTGCTTGTAAATTTGAGCAAACATTTTTTGTCCAAAACTCTTCTACTCTCTATAGAGATCTTCGGATATCCATCTTGATGACTGATAACCTAGTTGGATACAACATGTTGCGATTTGGCATCTGAAAGGAAATACAAATCTTAGAATAATGCTCGACCCTGTCTCTCGTTGGACATCCTACTGTCGTACTCCAATATTGTAAACAGTAAACAATGATTTAAATTTAAGCGGTTCCGCTTTTGAAGGTAAAAAAAAAATGAAACATAACTGGTGACTCGAAAAATGAAAAACAATGTCAGTTGATAATATACTCACACAGCTGCTATGAGCATAATTTATATAGATTCGTGAATTGATTTATACACCCGATAGCTCACTGAAAGCCATCAATTCCACGAAGATACTGTTGTTAATTGTCACAAAATTTTACCCATTTTTTCCTGTTTCCTTCAGGATCATGCCATTTCTGCCTAATAATACCTACTACGCAACTTCTCCATCGGTCAGCAAGTTGTGTTAGATTAGTTTATTCACTGTATTCTGTCGAAAAAAGTTTTCACCCAGACCTCAAACCACCCAAACCTTAGCTCTATTCTTCGATAGTTCCAAGCCTTTTGAAAGACGAAATTTAATTGTTGTCGTGAATTGTGATCGTTTAAATGATTGCTACGTTGTTAATTGAAAGTGTTTGTTGCGCTATGATTAAGCCTCTGTTGTCCTATGACCAGTAAAGTTGGACCTCGATTTATAACCGTTTGAAGCCAATCTTCACAGCACTAGGGCAATGGAGGGACATCTGCAATGTAAAATGTTGACCGAACTCAGTATGGGCTGCGTATGGTTCGATGTTTAGCTCTATATTTAATGTGCGCCTCGATCTTGCATTTCACGTTGTCATGATAACTGTCATACGGATGTCTGAATGCTCCGGCAAAAATGTCCACGAAAAATGTGTCAAACTCTTAACGATAAATTCCCTGTTCTAACGCAAAAGAGGAGGCTCTTACAAATTTCCACTGGCATTAAACAAGATGGCACAGTGACAGTCAAATGCAGATGCACGATGCATACTCGAAAATCCATAGCTGGCTCAGGTTTCACGGACAGAGCCGTCCGTATAGTGAAGTTAACTTTTCAGAATTGCCCACTTCGAGACGGAAAAGGTTACTGCTTGTAATTTCAATCTGGATAAACAAGAGATTTATACTTTGCTAGTTCAGCCGCTCTAAAACATGAGACAAATTGATGAATAAAAACAGGTTAGGAACACATGACCACGCAGGTACGCGGCCAAAAAACGCAAGGAAAAATTTTATTGGCGTTCCACTAACTCCGCATGCAGCTATATGAGCCTACCGAATTCGCTACAGACACACGTTCATATTTTGCCTCAAAACTTGTTGTACTTTGCGATAAAATTATTGCTCTTCAAGTGTAACGACAGCTGACACTCTATTAGACGTAATAATTCGGTAGCTACTTAGCCGCAGAGTGCCAATGTCCAGTGAGATATTTTGTCCATTTCTGCCAGACGTGTTTGTGGATTGCAGAGACGATACTTGAATATGTGCCAGCTCGCTAGTTCATTTATAGAGTTCATCGCTGTCGGTAATAATATAATATACAATAATAAGACTTTTGCCTCAAGCGAAATTTTGCTTGAACTAAAACCCCTACAAGATCTCTTGCGATAACCGTTACATATTAATATGCTACAAGTAAGTGAACAATAGTATGAAAAATAATTGTTCAAATACGAGTGGATAAAACACCTACAATTTACACGCTGCTATAGGCAGGAGTTTAGGGAGGAGTTACAGGAGGTTAGGGTGCGAAGTCAGGATCAAAATGAACTTTTGAATTTTTCGAATTCTTGCTACTAATAATACATTCACTAGTTTCAAATCACGTAGACCGCCGCATATATTAGGAGTGAGAATCTTCACTATATGATAACGCAGAAGCCAACCCATTTCTTGTTCAGTCAGCATCGTGGGGATAATATTTCTTATACAACTTCCTTATTCGCTGTTTTTATTATCAGATTAGAACTTCACCGATATCATATCTAATGATTAACAGGTTACACCAAGGACTCACTAATCACCGCTCACTGCTTGCTTCTAGAAACCTATCATTACTTCGCTTCTAGTATTGTACATCGAGATAAACCGCCGAGGCACTGTTTTTCAGCGTGAGTTTATTTTCGAACCAACGTTTCCTTGCTGATTCTTGTGTTTCCAACGCTGAGTCGATCTACTTCGAAGTCCAGCAAACAGCGACTTGTACTAGACTGTCTAAAATTCGATATGCGCACACAGAACAGACACAGATGGCGCAAACCATGAAACGACATAGCTAGCCTATTCGAACTGGCCTTTTTCTCCAGTGTCATTTAAATTTCACCTCTGCGTTCGTATTCAATCTTTGCACAGCATTTCATTCGGTATAGAAATTTCGTCTTATCAGCCAAAAAATAAAAATTTGTAGAAAATTCTCTATAAGCGCTCGAAGTTTGCAATACGATTTTCGTGGCGAAATGTATTCATTGTTTGACTATCCAGCTGTGAGCACCGGAGACAACTTCGATGGTGGAGCAGTCGAAACCGAAAAAGAAATTGGACAGCATAATTGTTATCGTTACTCTATTTCATGGGACGAAGAAGTATGTAACAGCGTTGTAAACAATCGATACACACCAAAATATAACTAACACTAGGATGGCCGGGAAAGAGAGTGCGATAGGATGGTCTGAATCTGAACGCGGGCAAAAACTCCTTAAAGAAAGCCAACCGCATAATTGTAAGGACTAATATAGCGCTATGTGAAATAGTATTTTTAAATTAATATATTATGAGCGGCTAAATAATGCTACATATAGAAATATAATTAAAACATAGTCAATTAGTTGTTGTTGAAGTTACAGTATAAGACACTGGCGCGCTTACAAGCTTTGTCCAAATCGTGAGAAATAGTCGTTGAAATGATACTGTATTGTATAGCGTAAAGTATTCGAACTCATAATGGCTTAAAAGGATATATCTAGTAGTACAGGAAAGCTTTGATATTTCTAGACTACTCGATCACGTAAAGAAACAGACCGACATGTTTTGTCTTACCGTGCCTTCTAGCATGTTCCTTTTTGTCTTCTGCTTTTTTTTGTATGTAGATCGTCAACATCAGTCAATCATGTCTATTGACGATAGAGTGTGCAGTATGTAAACACAGCTTTCAATATATTGATGAATTAATTGTTCTGCTAACAGAGAACGGCCAATACAGATAATTATTACAACACAGTTATAGTGACCTGTATGGTACATAGTGTAGCTAACTAATGTCGAGTTCAGACTCGTCGCATGTTCAATTATTGCGTGCATAGTTGCTTCTCTGCGGGAATCAACGCTTTTATTTCCAGAAAGAAAAATATAGACTTTCCAATACTCTTTATTCGATAAGGAGTTGGCATGTGTATTAATTTAGGTTAACCGATTTCTAGCCGTGATCTACATGAGTTGAAAGGAAACATAGTAAAAGCCAATTTTTGGTGAATCATAGATCTACGAAGATTTTGAAGAAGAATCAGATAAGAAAGCAAAACGGTTTAAGTTGGAGTATACTTGACATTATAGAAGGTGATCGAACTATTTATAGTATGAACTAACGGTGCCCCGAAATAATTGTTTCTAGTACCTTCATAATAAGAAATTACCTATTGTGGGTTTCTTAAAGCGACTGTCGAGAACTGCCAATAGCGACGGGTCGAGCTTTACTTTCGTAAAAGCTTTTTCAATTATTTTCGAGATTTGTTGTGCCTTTGTTTGCAGAGATATCGTGGTTCTTATCGATTAGTTCAAAAAACGCTAACTTCCTTGAGCTATATTCATTTCCGCCCTTAGATCCTTATAACAAGGTCTTGACGACATTACAGTCATTTTCATAACAACACATTATTGTTAGATATACACAAAAAGCAGAAGAAAAAGCACACGGTCAGTCATTAATATCGTTTGGTAAGGCGTCACAACGTAAGGGGTTGCCATCTTTCCCCCGTCCAACATACCATTATTCTAACACATTCCTCGCGCCGCCGGTGCTGCGTCCACTCACAGAATAGACAGACGCGCTGTTGCCAGCTGCAACTAGAGTCTCTTCATACTCGGCCATTCTGCCAGCTCGGGACACCACTTGTGATTGTCTTCAACATGCGATTGTATAAGTCATTGCTTAAGCTTTCTGTTTACGAAAGACAATTACCTGATGAGAGGTAATAGTCAAGGACGTCGTCAGAGCTCGACGGTGGGGTAAACGTTGATTAATCGCAGAGAAAGCAATTCATGCCGGCGATGTTTTTGTGGTATTTGTTTGTCGTGAGAGAACTCTTGCGTGTGTTATACAAGTGGCCAGTACGCGGATAAATATTATAAACGTACTTGTATTTTCATCTAACAGATCAAAATTTGAACCATCGGTTTCGCAGTCTTTTGAGGCCCCATTAGATAGTTTGAAAAGGTCACACTGTGGAGGATTAAATTCGCGATTGCGTTACTTTTCTAAAACGCCATTCCTACAGCACACAAAGTCTACAGTTGCATTTTGCGGTGAAAAGTGGACGCCCACTGACGGCAAGATGACGTCCTTGCAGTCATTGTTAATTCGATTACTAAGAGTAGCCCCGGGAGTATGGCTAAGCAAATGGAAGGAAACCGGCAATAACTCATCTAGGACTTGTCCTTTTGTGCTGAGGGTAGCCAACAGTATCGAAAGTCATCATGTGCTTCCGTAGGTACATGTGCCGTGATGGATATCAAAAGAGAAAACGGTGATGAATGCCTTAATCAGCATGACTGAAAGCAGCCTCACGTTGAGAGCCGACTCGAAACTAGCATCCGAAAGTTGGTCATAACGAAACTTGCTACTGGTCACCGTTCGAGGTTCTCTTAACATGGGATAAAAATTAAATCTATTTTCAGACGATATCTACTCGAAAATACCTCAAGGCTGTAAAAAAAAAACGCCAGTAGACTGTACGCTGATGAAACTATAGAATAATCGTAAATGTTTTTACTCATATAAGTATATTTTAACGATTTTACGTATCTGATTCAATTAATATTGATAGAAACCGAGTTCCGAAGAGTAGATGCGCTTGTCGGTATTGCCTTTTTAAAATACAAGAATAAACTTAATTCCTCTTTGCTTTTTTGAATGTATTGTATAGCCATCAACTTTTACATGTAATGATAGGTAAATGTGATGTCTGTATGTTATAGCTTCGCTAACGCAAAGGTTCGGAATTGGCTAAATTTGAAGAGTAGCGGATGTATACAAAGGTCGTTCGATAGATTTCTGCGATTTGTGTACTTATTTTTTTCGTTATTCTTTTTTGTCAATTGTGCTTAATTAAGTGTGGCGCACAACTAAACTTATAAGTTTTATCTTTGATCGGCAGTTCTGTTCTTGTTGGCCAATTCTGGCTTCTCTAAAGCAAATTAATATACTATTTTTTTAAAAGCGCTATATGTGGTATAAAATGTCAAATATGTGTTTAATAAAAAAAATATTAATTCAAAATGCAAGGTAACGATAAATCAAAGTTGAAGATGAAAGAAAATTATTATTAACGTTCTGAGCTTCTGCCCCTGAATAATGTCTTCAATAAATAGAATATAGGCGTAAAAACGCATAAAAGCACCAGAATGTTGTCACACATAGCTTTTGAACAATTAGCAAACTTGTATCTGGATTTTAACAACTTCATCAATAGAGACAGCTACCCTTATGAAAGTTATAATTATTTTTGCGATTGGCCAGAGATGAGATTCGCGATGGTCAAGCATAGCATGGGTAACGATGGCTTTTAAAGCAGTGGCCTACGCAAAAACTCTACTCGGAGATGTCTGGACGGGATCAGATTTTCGTCAGACAAGGTCTTTAGACAAGCATTCCAGTAGAAAATAAGGGGGGCTACAGCTTAAACGCGAATAGAGAGGGAAACATCGCGAAGGGGTAATAAATGAAAGCTGATTACTATAAGAAATCGGCGAAGTTTGATCAGGAAGGGAAGCTTGAGTGCCGAGTGTATACAATGAAACAGTAGTAGAACAGAAGCTCTGCCAGATAGGATCACCTTTGGAGTTAGAGAGAAGCATGTGTCAGATCAAGGATAAACACTAAATACGAACTCGACGATTACACGTCTATTTAAAGAACCAATAGCCGATTATAAGGACAGTTTGCGTATGGACAGCAGCAACTTTAAGGAGTAAATGGGTCGTGCATTTTCTCTCATAAAAAGAACCGAGAATGTAGCGGATCAGAGTTTTCTTCGAGACCATAATGAGGCCAATTCATCCTAGTGTGTGCCAATTTGGCCAAAAGGCAGCAAAATAGCAAGGCTGCACGTAACGAGTTTAGCTCAAACATCGTAACTGTACACGCGTTGACCGTATTGCTGTAGGCAGTGAAGATTCTTTTGTTCCAGTCAGGAGAGGGCCCATCCCCCACGGGACGCGTAAGAGGAAAGGGAAGCTAAGTAGCCCGCGCAGATGTATGTTCGTAACTTTGCCAGTATATATAAGGTCGAATTAGAGGCACGGAATATTGTCGAGCATTACTTGCACGATCTCGCGCATCCTCTGTCCTCGTGGACAACTTAAAACTAAAGAGAGAAAGAGGTTAATCAAGAGAATATCACAAATACGACCATTACAAGGTAAGTGGGTGTTAGAGGTGCTAAGCTATTTTCTCAGGTTTAAACCTTACATACCGGTCAAGTAAAGCAAAACAAAAGCTGATGAAATTCTAATGCTTCACTAACTTGTACAATCTTGTAATTTCTATATGAAACATAGACTTATTATGTTGCATGGTTTGTTTGTTGCTACCGTCGTCGACTCGGTGGAATAGAATTGAAATAGGCGAAGCATACGATGGTTCTTATGTCTGGTAATTATCGTACGAAACAAAATGAGACCACGCGTTACTTGGTACTGGAGCGTAATGGTGATATGCGAAAAGACTATGGTTAAATGTATGAAATTAATGATGGCCTCTTGCATAAAACTACTTTTTCGCTGAGAGTGCGTAGAACGGAAAAATAGTGCAATGGACTTGTTTTTGTAGATTGCCTAAGACAAAGTGTTCAACAGAACACCATCTGAATGTTTCTAAAGCAGCCGTGTGCTAATAGAAGTTCTCACTAGCTCCATTGGGGAGTGATCTATTTTGTTGAGCAAGACTACTACTTTGGTTGCAAATCGTTGATAGGCAACTAACTAGGCAAGCGTTTCCATTCTATTAGAAATATGTTAGCCGAAGTTTATGTTGTAATCATCATGAGGTCAATTGCAAGTAAACGAGATGTATTTGTTGAACGTTATATTATTTACTCAATATAGAAAACCTTGAACTTTATGTTATTGAAGAATAATTTAAGCTACACCCCTGACATTCATTATGTACTGCTCGGCTTACACATATATATACATTTTTTTTTTTTTATAGAACTTCGCTTCTAAATGCATCAGACATTATTCATAAAATTGCGAGATGCCAAAATAATGTCTCGTAATACTCGTTTAGTTCAAACCAGCTGACAATTCAGTAAACCGAAAGGGATCAATCTGGATCAAACGAGAAGTTGATTCAAACCGTGAATGTCCGACGATTATCCGGCTCAGAAACCTTCAGAACGTATTCTGATATTCTATTGTAATGGGCAGTGTCTCTCCTAGCATAATATAGTTGCCTTTAGTTCGTTCGATAAAATCGATATCTGTCGAATTTTAGGGAGTGCTCGGAGGAAAATGGCCGCTTCCAGGTCTCTATTCGCTCTTATACTGTTGGCTATCGTCCTGGTAGAAACCGTATCGTGCGATAGTGATGTCAACTACCGAAAACCTCCTTTTAATGGAAGCATTTTCGGCAAGCGAAATAATGGCCTTGTGGCGGGGAGAGTCGCCGGTCAGGACGACCGGGGAGTTTGTGAGGTGACTATTTAATTTGCATTCGAATTTATTTATAATGGTGTTACATTTAGCCATTTTAGTTCAAAAAATACGTCTGATGACGTTATCTTTCTGTGGAGCATCTTTCAGCTTTGCGGTAAAGCTGAAATGAAATAAATGAATGATTAGTTTTTGATGGTAATAATATCTCGACCAGCAGAGTTGCCGATTTCGGTCTTGCTATCGAGCACACTTGCACTATACGATATTGGTATTAAAATGAAAGCAATTGAAAAGTAATGCCTTTTATAATACAAATGTGTCACACCAACGATTACCGCATCCTTTTGCAGGTTTTGCTCGACGCATGCGGGCAGCTCCTACAGAGCGTCATCGACCAACAAGGAGTATGATTGTGTGAAACAAACACGCAGGCACGCCCAGGAACCTTTGACTTACCCAGCGTCTGATCGTGGCCACATCACGGTGGTGGTATCTCTTGAAAAGCTATTTCTTAAACCCGCCTACTTCCACATAAGGGGCCTATAGCAATGTTTCCTTCATCAGGATATACTGAAAACGTCGTAACGTGTTTCCTTTGCAGATATTATTTAAACGTGGCTCACATATGACCATGCGGATGCCTTGTTTCGTAGCCGAGAACTGTTACCGAAGGCCGTGCTACTGCGTCTGGCCAAATCATGTATATATGAAGTCGTCGGCGACAATAACAGACACATCCAGTATTTTCTATTATTCGGTAACATACAACAAATGATGTGTGCTCAGTATGACGGAATAACAAAGATATGAATCGGCTTTCGAGCAAATATATCCTATGATAGAATAAATTAATTTTCCGCTGTCGCCTACCTGTCTATGGAAAAAGAATCATTATCACAGTGAGTCTTAATTACACGTAATAGGGATAGCAGGAGAACGGTCTTAAACAAAGTTTCGCCAGTTAGCGCGATAAATCACGCAGCGGCTGATACAGTGAATTCGCTGTACTTGAGAATAGAGTACAAAAGGAAAGTCCACGCTATAGTTAAATCATAACAATAACAAGATGAATACTTACGATTCCGATACGATCAGATGATTTGTTCCACAGTTCATATATCTGAAAGATCGAATAGAAGGCCTGTTATAGGCAGTAGCCGAAAACCGACCGAACCGAAGACAAATTCAGGTAAACAGGATGCATCAATTCGACCTGTTCAACCGTGAGCGATCTTCGCCTGATCTTCACCACACTGCATTGACCGCAGTTGTCCTTTTGTGCACATGTTGCGATTCCGTTTTTGGCCTCTGATTATATCAGGAGTTTTCAAATCAGTGCCACAAGTTTGTAAAGAATACCGCATCGACGTTACTGTAAGCAGTATGAAATAGTACTAATACTACTTTAGCAGTCACTATTACCTTAAAGTATAAACACGCAATGGGCAAAAAACAAAAAAAGAAGCAGCGTAGACTTAAGCGTGAGCAATGGTTCATACCGATGCATCACAGATGCTTCGTAAAAGACGAGAAAACCGTACAGCTTAGCAGTAAGCAAAATTTATTGCATAAACAGATAGGACAGTAACAACTTGATTAATAAATCGCTCATCAGTAAGTACTTTTAGATAGGCTTGATTATCGTTGTGTGACGACGGTGGGCAGCAGAAGTATGTATGACCATAATACAGAAAATGATAAAACCGATACTAAGCGTATAGAGATAATAACAAATATAATGTAAGAGGTGTGTTTTTCGTAATTTGACTACATTTTAATAGCCAAGTTAGCGAGCAGCGAGTAAATGTATTTACGAAGCTGTTATGGGTTGATGGGCATTCAACGATATGCCGAAGCTCTCTTCAATGGGTCAACGTAAAACTCGGACACAATATATACAGAGTCCTCGCTTCATTTGCATCATCTTTCTTCTCAGCGATCAACCTTTATAGAAAATCTGGGCAACCCGCAGGAGCTGGATGCGTATTAAAGTTCCAATCGCAAACCAGTTGATCTTCATTGTATACTAGGCCAGCAGGACAACTGAGCTCGGTCAGGCGTATGCGTCCGGCGTCGTCGCACACGAAGAATTTCCGGCAAGATGCTGTGTGCGGAAGCGTGTGTTTCTCACAACGCTGGGGCCAGAGCGCTGCGCTTGTTGTTGGTAGTGCAGCAGTAGAGGTCGATATAGACTCCATTTCAGAGATGGTAGAATTATAATTAAGCGATGGAGCTAGGTCTCGGGGCGTAGTGCGCCCGTCCCTGCAATATGCAATTACACAAGTATGACGTTATTTGAAATAGATGAATGGGAAAATAGTACGATGAAAATGACATAGATTTTCTAACATGGTAAAGCTGGTTTTCGCCCCCTACATTGAAATCTATAAAAGTTTAGAGAAAAATATTCTTGAATTTATCGCTCAAGTCTTGAGAAAAACTATTGGCAATCACTTTAAAGAAAATGTTGATTTATATTAATAGACAGTTTAAAATTATATTTTTTTTTTGACTATAGTTAGCTCTGAACGCTTTATATAGAGAAGCGTGCTATGTCTATTTGACTCATGAATATACTGTACGCGTTTTTCGCCTTGCATAAATCACTTGTGGTGATAATGGTTATTACATACAGTGTAGTGCTCGTAAGTGCTGAGGATGTTTCATTAGTTTGACTAGCCCTTTCTCGGCTTTCGTTTCCATTGAGCTGGGCGCTAATGGCCGTAAGGAGTGGATATTTTACTTTGGTGTTGCAGAGTGCATTCGCATCGTCATTGTTAACTGCCCAGATCATAGCTCCACCGTAACCAGCCGACTTGATTAATTCCACCTATTTGAAGAAACAACGGCAAATGTCAATTATTAAATAAAGAAAATCTCAGACAAACGCTTTTCACATGTTCTGTGACCAAATCTACTATCCAAAATAAGATTTACATTCAAATACTCTAGTAGTTCTATTTCTAGTTTCTATTTCTAATTTCTATATCTAGTAGTTGATGCTACCTTATATTTAATGCCTTCCTCGTTATCGTAGCCGACCCATTGATCATCTCCGTAAGCGTACGGAACTTTTGCTTCGTTATCCCATGCACTAGTCCAATGCTTATTTGTCCGTAGAAGCTCGCATATCTGGAAAAGCATAGACAAAAATGGCGTGGCTTTTTCCATAAATTCGGTCCTATTTACGAGAGATAATAATGACGGTTAGCAGAATGAGAATGACTTTGTGATACTGAGTCCGCGTTTTGGAATACATGATTTGCTAACAGCTTGTGTTTTGGTTACTTCTAAAATTTGCTTTTCAACTACTCTAGCTGTCTCAGCCTCGTGTTATGTATCAAGGCTCGTTTTGATGACACGTGGGAATGACACGCAAGCCGAAAGAAGACTGAATTCATTTTATGCTAAGAAAACTGCTTATTGCAGCTTAGTTTCGATGCAGTTAAAACGGCCCATAGTGCAGGGCTTTATAGGCGTACTGAAGTTTACATATTCTCACGAATTAGCGCAGACCCACCTCGAAATAGAAGAGCGTGCCTTCAGTTTGTGAGATGGGACCTTTTCTTCCGGGCCCTTGTGCTGGAGCTCCGATGTACGTTTTATTGCTATTAGCAAGAGTAAATGACCTTCCATAAAAAGCAAAGCCTAAAATGAGCTTCGAGCTAGGCGCCCCCCGGGCTTCCCACGCGATTAGAGCACCGGCCTTCAATTGACAGAGCCACAAATAATAAGATAAAGTTAATATATTATCTCGCGAATGAAGTACACCCTTGGTTTGTCTGTCTGTCTGTCTGATGAGCCGTATGTTTCATATAGTTACCCTGCTGATCTCATAAATGGCCTATTTCGTGCAGCACCGGTTCGTTCAGCAGCGATTCGCTGCTGAATCATTGAACGTAATCTACAAATGACATCTCAAAGGAATTAGTGCTGAAATCTTCGAGCTTACATACCACATTGAACAAGGTTAAGATGGCCGGATCAGATCTCCTTTTGTGAAGAAGGACATGATTGTCAACCGTTGGTTCCCAAGGCCCGTGAAGATCATAAGTCATCACGTGAATATAATCCACAATCTATAAAACAGACAGCTCACTTAGATATCTAGTTATGGAGTAGCGTGCATAATATATATACGGCTGTTACAAGCGAATCTTGTGGGCTTTGAAGCCGAATATCTTTTAAGCTATACGCCGCTAGAAAACGCGATTTAGGTGGTAAATACTCAGCTTCCATCAAGAAATTTCTGAGTAAAAAAAGGTTGAACTTGCTGCGAGAGAAATAAGTTCACAAAAGAAAACATCCTCAAATTTCAAGAGTGAACGCTCAGTGATCAAGTTGTTGTTCCTCGGAAGTCACAGCGCTGCAATAGTTCATCGAAGATTGGCCTTAAGTGAAAGCACAATACGTGAAGAGAGTGTGAAGACTAGGGAGGAGGTCAATAGGTGTCAGGACCCGAAGGACAAAAACGTATTGCCGCAGTCGAGGAAATTCTTTCACGAAAGCCGAATCTGGAGTCTATAAGCTCTGACAGCCAAAACCGACATATTACATGCAGTGTAGTACCGAATTATGATCCAACTATTGAAAGTGTGGAAACTGAGTAAAAAATAGGTTCCTTGCGAGTTGACTCCAGGCCGGTTGGAAATGTGTGTCGCGTATTCCACGTACAACTCGCGGAATTTTGATCTAAATTGATTTAAAAATCCGCCAGGAGGATACAGTTGCTATAGATGAGGCATGGTTACATAGACAGGACGTAAGGCGATGATAGTGCTTGCAGTGGAGATCAGACGCATCCGTTATAGCGAGCTCCTTGCCTTTAAACAGTGACTGCAGTCTGCTATCTTGGGTTACTCAAGAGACTCATCGACCGTTGGTCTGCGTGCATCAATTACTTCCTGGATTGAGCAAAGGAACATTCAACGTTGACCTCAATCCGCCTATCCCACCGATCTAATTCTGCGTGTGATTTCTGCGCTTTCCATGTGCTAAAATGGACAGCTGGTAGGCGAACGCTTCCCACTAACGATTTACCTCGAGGAGAAACTATAGATAGAGAGATTACGTATCAAAACCCGAATGGAAATTATACATAGAAGCTTTAGAATTTTACATAGAAGAAGAAGATTTAGCCACCCTTTTAAGAAGATTTAAGAAGAAGATTAGGCCACCTAGTTCAGAAATTATTAAATTTCAATGTCTACAGAGTTTGTTTATTATGGTGCAATAGATATTTTAAAAAAATCAATTCTATTTACCAATAGCCTGAAATTATAAATATTATAATCTCCTTTAATAAAACTGTTTATCTCTAGGAAAATCCCACACGAATCTAGACTAACATACAATTTCGTTTTCCTAATTACCTTGGATATTTCTGGAACGTTGTAGCCAATATCGACATTGACGATAGCTGGAACAGCCACAGTCAATAGTTTATCTTTGCCAATGGCTTTTCGAATAGCCTGTAACGTTGGTACGGACAAATCAGGACTAAAATTAAAGCCTCACATGTCATAATGCAGCGTTTACATTCTAAAAACGATCGCTACGCTGATGGTAATTACGTTGGCATTTTTGGTCAATAATTATTAGAATCAGAATGAACAAATTTATAATTACTACTGCCTACCAGACGACTTTAGAATGTAGTTGCACACTGTTTTTCAGGTCCGTTTGATGATTTAGCGATTCTTGTTTCAAGCTAAATTGATAGTTACTAATATTCATTTGTATGCGTTTTACCAATTATAATAACATACTATAATCCTTCAGTAGTCTTTAAATCTTCACGCGTTAATATTTGCTTCGTACCTTGAGTAAAAGTACGAAGTTTAATTTATCCATATATGGGTTACCGCCGACAGCGCCCGGATACTCCCAGTCAAGATCGACCCCATCGAAGTCAAACTTTTGAATTACGGCGGCAACAGATGTGGCAAATATCCTACGTCCGGCATATGTAGAAGCCATTCTTGAGTATCGCTCAGACCTTTCATTCCAGCCGCCAATTGCGAACGAGACTTTCAAATCGCGTCTGACCTCTTTGAGGGCAACGAATTTTGCGATTCCCCCTGGAAGTTCGTCAGTAATAACGGTTATGTAGATAACTCTTATCTGTTTACTGGTGCATGCTTATAATGTTTGATGATAAGGTGAAGTTAAGCTGTAAATGAATAGAATGAAGGTGCACCAAAATAAATAATAGAGATCTAGTTCGCCTTTGGTGCAGTTAACCTATAATAAGATCATCTGATCTTTTTAAGAAACAAACAAATCAAATATTTTTGTCAAAAGGACCATTAGGTCAGGACGATCCGGACGCTCTGGTGAAATATCGAACATTAATTGTATTGAAAGACTACCAATTCATATTTGGCGTCTCGCTTTTTATACGACATAGCTACATTTAGATAACCCTAACACCCGGTACGTTCTTACTGTGGTCGATGTCCAGGAATGGATCGAGATATTTCACCCTATTCGTCGATTCGTCAAGTCCCAGAAATGTGTAGATGACGTGAGTACATTTATCCACTGGGAGAGTCAATACATTTCCTGTGTATGGAGCTGCACGGTATCTAAATAAAAAAAACAGAATCAATTGTTCAGCACACCAGTGTGAAGCCATTATCTGTATCACATCGCTCATAAACAACAAGGCATATCAGAACCGACTAAACATCTGCCATTTACCGTTAAGACACAGCAAAAGTGCTTGGCTTAGTGTTACATGCCTCGAACCTTGAAGATACGTTCCTGAACGATGAATCACGGCCTGATACATTCACGTGGTACTAACGAAAAATCGCACATTTGTAAAAATTCCATTCATATTTGAGAAGAACCCTACAAAAATGTATATATATATATAACACCTAACTAAGCATGAATCCGCTTAATAGTACTTTGAACGACCTTCTTAGAAGGTCAGTCCCCTTTATCACTAGAAAAATCTGCTAGCGTTTTCTTTAAAAGCAGCTGTCCGATTGAAGTTGCCTTGAAGTTGCGATTGAAGGCGCAAAATTACCATTTGATCAAAAGCTTTCAACGATCCTTGTAATCCATTAGTGGAAAAATACAAGTGTTATTTGTGCTTTTTTAAAAAAGCAGAAAAATCATTAATTGCATCGGATTCTCACTTACATATGTGCCACCAGGCTCTCTGTAATTTACGATGAAAGAGCAAATATGTCCGGCCATTATCACAGCATCGTTTGTACAAGAAAGTTATTGGCAATGCATTTGTGAGCGCTGCAAAGCTATCGATATCTGTAGACGTTTCAGAAAGGATGTAACATATGTTTTATGAGTTCTACATTCGGCACGATCGTTGAGCATCGACTCAGACGGCTGGGCCCTTTCAGCACAAGATCTCACGACAAGCTATTTCAAACATACTACGACTAAGAAAGCAACGCTGTACGATCATAGCCAGATATCTATATAATGTCAGACTGGGAACGTATTATCCACATAGTGGCACATTCGCCATAACTGGGGACCGCAGTGAGGAGCAGGAGATTGACTCATCAAAGTGCTCTTGAGAAATGAGTACTTGTTTCGATTATAAAAGCGTCTCATTCTGATTTTTTATAGATCGAATAGCCTGGACCTTGTAATTAGGTTTTTAAAGGTTATATATAGTAATATCTTTGGTTAGGCAGATTCATTATTAGTAAATATTGTGTTGTTTAGCTATGCTTGACAGCCCTCGTTGCGCCTAAACTTTGCAAGCTAGGTAAACGTATGTAATAATATATATCAGCAATATCAATTATACGTATCTTACAGAGGACATTTCACAAAGAGAGCTGTAAAAAGGGTGATGAGGTCTGGGTTGCCATGAATATGCGGCCATGGCTATTCCAATCACCGCATTGCTACGGCCTATGATTAACGTGAGGTTTCGTTGAGTCTGTCGGAGAAACCGCAGGTAAATCCCCTTCTAGTGAGGGCAAGTTCTTGATACTACACCAATGTGATTCCGAGAGTTTGTTCGCAGAATAGGAATAGCTAAAAGCTTTAAGAAAAAAACAAATGGTAGACAAAATATGAACATAAAATATGACCACAACCACAACTGTGTAGTTAGCATTACGAAGATAATGTCGTTGACGAAATATTAATCGCTCTAGAGAAAAGTATGTTACGACTGTTATTTATGTATATATATTTGAAAAAGATTTTTTAACAAGTACATTACTACTAGTAGTTCTATATTGCTTCAGAGGGCCCGCTCCTTCCAGTGGAAACCAACGTGTGGTTATGCCTGGTTTAAAAATTAGATGACTTTACGTGTTCCCAAATTTATTAAACAACCACGTTACCCGTACACTCCATGTAAGTACTCTGCTGCTATCTAAAATGGAGCCTGTATTATAATCGGAATTACATTATTTTTATCGGCATCCGGGTGTGAAAGCGTTTTGTTTGGGGCTAGGAATATTCACACGTAGGGCAGTAATTTACTCAAATGTGGCACGTTTAACGGTAGTCTTCCCTAATGAAACACCGATAAAATCAAAAAGACACAGCAACCTAAGTAGTACATTGGCTATAATTCTTGCTACGATACTTACACCGACCACGACTCCCAGTAACAGATGACAGGATATTTACCAGCAACACTTCCTGTAGCGCTCAGCGCCGAAACAACAGCGACAAGCAACATCAGCATTATTGTTAGACTATTGAATTTTTGTCCAAGCCTTGAAAGGATGCACGTTACTTTATGTTGTTGTTATCAGCACTTGTTATCTATTTGAATACACCCTCGTGGCCTTATTGGATTCACCTGGATATCATACGTGGCACCCGAATGTGCTCGTTGATGGACTCTTCTAGTGATAGAGTCTACCAAGTGAAGTTCACCATAGAAGATTCGCAACTTATCCGCTGCCCTTCATTAACTGGTGTACTTAGGTTAGCTCGATGATCGACGTTAATTAGCACGAGGGGTCATCGTACTGTGTAATTTATAGGGGACTATGAAGGCATCAGGGGGCGATAGTGTGTCGTCAACCGCAGCCCACCGCCGTTGTTCTTAATTATTTCTGTCGCAAACTAGTGCACTTATTAACGTCGAGTGAGTTAACCACTGATAGAGAGTAGCAAAGAAATCAATATGAGAGGGAATACAAGTCGTACCTGTGCTTTTTATACAACTAGCAGGAACGACTGGCTCTTTGCATAGAACTGAATGTACGAAAATGGTGTAATACTGCCGTTTAGCTGTGAAAGGGTTTTCTACTTAACAAGGTAAACTATGTTGAGGTTGAACAGCGAAGCAACTAAAAGAAGTCCCATAAACCATAGTCCAGGCAGTTGCCAAAGCGTGGAAGATAAGGAATCGGCTGAAGGTTTAGCTGACCTCTGACTACAAGACTTACAGCGCAGAGCTGCAAGTAGGTAAACCCCTGTCGTAAATCGTGAGCTATTACTGTTGTAAATTAACGACTGCGATTGGTAAATGAGTGACAAATAGGTTTGTAAAAACAATTTACCTAGCGAAATTTAGCATTACATTGAGCCAATGTTTCAGATTAACATCACATCTTTGATTCAAACACACGTTTGCTGACTAAGTTTGCTAGGATCATCAATGATTCAATGGCTTTTTTTATTGTTATCCCCTAAGGTCTTCCTTAGCGATTTAGCTCACGGCGAATTCGTATGGGAAATAACAAGCTCCATAGCTGCTACTAACACAGAGTGCTACAAACTATAGAAACTTCTGAGAAAAATGAAAAAAAAATTCTCAAAGGGCCCTATTAAGATTCCTAACTTATTAATCACTCTCTAGTTACTTCGAAAATCAGATGGGAAGCAGTGCAGCAGACAACAAAAACATTCATTTTAATTAAAACGTTGATTTTGCCGTTTGCATTTTTTCGGTAACTAATTTGCCTCGACCCCATAATCATAATCAGCATCGTCGTCATCACCATCGATACAAACGAGTGGTTACTTTGATCTCGGAACTTCAGTCTGTTCGGTACGGTTCTGGCCGCGGTGTTCGGAATGAGTAAACGACTTTATCAACGACTAGCTGAAGTTGATAAACTTATCTCACCCGTGTTGCCAAGTGCTGGGAGACCCCGCTTTAGCGGATCCCACTCCGCAGACAGGTATATTATGACACAGTTCTTTGGATCAGGGTCGTCCTTTATGTCTTTTCCATCCCGGCACCTGATCTGTAAAATGTACTTCCCATTGAATATGGAACGAAACAAAATCTCGAAGCATAGGACTGGGAAATCTTCAACACGGCGCACAATCTTTCCATCGTCCTCGTACGAGATCGTTATGCAACGGATGACAGCTGATTCCGGATATCCAAGAGTTAAAACCAATGTTTCAATGTGTCCCTCCTTGAACGTCACGGATGTTCCGTCACCGTAGATTAACTTCACAGTGATAGAAGATCGCTGCTGACTTCGGCGTTGAAGGAGTCGCTCTCGAAAATTAACTGAGAAGCAAATACTGACTTCTCGAAAATAGACCCTGAACAGCTCGCGAACGTGTGGGGTCATTACTAAACCGTTTAGACGATTACCCTGCATCGCCCACAGGTCAATTAATTTCTGTCGGCTCTCAGCCGAGGCCAAATTAGGCATCTTACTTCCAGGTTTGATAGAGTTGCAGAGCATTTCACAGATGGCTTGCTGTGGAAGATCACGCTATTGTTATTACCTTTAGCTGATGTACACTGCTCATGGGCCCTGCAATACTATGCACTTGTGTAAAGCGGCTCAATACGACTACAAATAAAGCTACCGCTATCGTAAACGCCATATCAGCAAAGCGAGCTAATCTGATCTTTATTTATTCGTATGAAGCTGTGGCGAAGCTGGAAACATCACGCTTGTGCTTGAGCGGACCACTGCCGTGTCAGGTCTCCGTCTTCCTAGGCCTGAAATGACATACGCCCCTAGGATGGCTTTTATGGTGCACAGACAATCGTTATGATTGCTTTAATTAGTAAAATATAGTGTATTTTAAAACGCGCGCTTTGATTATTATGGACAGTCTTTTATTATGGACGGGTTTATTATACAGGAGCTCTTGTAGCTCGGTAGTCCTGATCTAATATATCGCTTTTATATGACCCCTGGAATCGACTTGCCACAGATTGGACAATATCTAGAGGTTCAGAGGCTTAACAAAGCTCCATCGATGTAGCCTTGTTACAGAATCACTAGATGAAATACTTGTCTCATCTGGCGCGTGAATATATTTGCAGCCTTAGATGATTGCCTTAATACTAGTTACGTTTTTAGGAAAGACGTGGGACTAAACCGAATTCTCGGCCTGGAATAAGCTGATAATAAAATACACATCAAATGGCATTCGAAGGCTTTCCTGCCACGATAGGCGAATGAATATTATCGAGGCAATGAAGTGCAGCATGAACTAAGTTTCGAATGCTAGCCCAGGTAGTGCTTTCTTTTTTGTGGCCTATTGCCTATACGACAGCCTCGCTATACGACAGAGATACAGTTCAGCTGAATGGACGACTGAGCCGCGCAAATTCGATCGGGAGATCCTAGGTAAAAAACATGAATACAAAAAAAAACTCGCACCTAGCGTTTTACTTCGTTCGCTTATCTGTCATAACACTGGATAATTCAACTCGATATCTTAAGTTTTTATTACTGAAACGAGTCTTCTAGCCAGAGAAGCTTCGTGGTGAGACTATTTTTCCAAAAAAAAGCTACGAAAGTGTTAACGACGTAGCTTTTTTTCGTAATTACATGGTAACGTTTTTTACTCGTAACCTGGCAGCTCCGTCCCCTCTGGCTCACCGCATTATAGAAGAGGCTTAACGAAACCGATTCGGTTAAGAGTACGTGATGTAGTTACTCGAGACGGACGGGACAAATAGACAAATTACGTTGAATCGAATCGATCGCTAACTTTTGTTTGTGTTTTTGGAAAAAAGGATACGTACGCTTTCTGAACCTGAGTCCCATCGCGATGCCATTAAATATACAATGTGGTCGAAGAAACGGAAGAAGATCTTTGTAAATGTGGTCTTTTCTTCACGTTCGATTTTTGCCAATGAACGCTTTGTATGTCTGGACCGAACGTATGGCAGGGTTGGCATTGTTGACGCTGTTGTTTTATTGGATGTCCACCACCTGATTGACGTTCCTTCTTCGCGGCTCTATTTTCATTTAACTTTACAACTTTGGTAACCTCTTTATAGAATAATTCGCACTCTCGGAACCAAGCACAAAATGCTGCCTTTCGCACCCTAGCAGCAGCTGTGTCCCGCGGGCAGGCTCTTATCGAATGACCTATCGTATTCGTGCGACCGCATATGACCTGACCACGCACGTCCAAACTTCCACCTTTATTACGTACAGTGGGCACATGAAACAAGGAATTGAAAGAATCAAGTCGTAGTTGACTGCACGATAGGGGGTGTAGTAAAATAAATTATTAATTCGAAGAGCAAGCGGCGTCTGGCTTTCTGTTTTTTAGACATTTCCTTTATTGCAGCGCTCTTCGTATTAGTTAACTACAAATGTACAGTTTGTCGCTACGGTAACTTGTTCTCTTCCCAACCGGAAGGCAAGTTATCAAAGTTACACGATAAATCCGTTCTTGGCAGAGAGTAGAAATATTGACCGTTAGCTTACGGGGTTGAGCTAGACCATTACTCGATTCGTTATTAGTAATGAATCATTCCAGATAGTTACAACTGGCAACTTTTGATGCTGTGATAATGTCGTCTTTGTTTTGGGTGTCACGGTACCTTGGACGCTAATGATAGACATAATAATAACTGTTAGACGAGTTCTATGCTACGGATTTTGTTCGTTGCGATATCGTCACTGACCCGTCCACGAACTGGTGGAAGAAATATTTAACATAAAAAGACCAAGTTTGCACTTATTTGAATTTATCATTGCTAGCTGGGACGCCAGGAGAAGAAAAGGGCGCTTGTACGATTACCGACCATTCTATCTCAATTTGTCAACAGGAACATTATAAGACCTTTCATTGGGTTATTGTAAACCGATTGTGCTTAGATTACTCGTGTCAAGTTCCGATTGCGCAATAAATTATTTTCAAAACTTCTTGAAATGCCTCACAGAATCAGTCCGAATCACGCCTACTTCTCATCGGGGGAGTTCTTCACGTGGAGGCCGAAGAGTGAGGCTCTAGAAATAAAAAGAGCAGCAGAAGCTGTTTTACCATCGAGTGCCGCTAATGACTTAGCGATCGCAAGCAGTGCGATGGACCCTACACTTAATTGGGTAAGTAGGGAACCTTCTGTGGGCCTTACTGCGCGAACACGACTGAAGAAACCACGAGTCGGCAGGTGCTTTGAAATCATTGAAACCTTAACAATTATCATTGCATAGAGTAGTCAGTTGGCAGGGAGACGTCACAAGCTTTAACTCAGAGCGGTACATTTAGGTTGAACAATCTAGAAGAGTTTGGGGCAGCACGATGCAGAATAATGAAGGAACGGCGCCCTTCAGTGGCTGTCAATGGCTGTAGGTAACTTCAGCGTGCGGTCTAGAAACTTACACGCTAATCGATACCTTAGTTATGTACCCCAGTTAATTGAAGCTGGTAAAACCAAAATATTGGCAGAATCCCGACATTTACGGCCCGAATGGCTATAACTTAGCCAAAAATAGGCAGGTAATACTCGAGCTGGGAACTGCATATCAACGATGTCAAGCAATGCTCTATTGCAGATGTGCTGAAAGACCTTTCCTGAAAAATTCAAGGAAGACCTCTGCACAGTAGCGTATAAGAGTATCAGAAATAAGATAAAAATCGCATAAAGATTCCCAACTTGCGAGGCCGCTCAAGGCTAGCTCCGACGACAATTCCACAGCTGAAATTCTCCAAATCTCAACCACTTCCAAGCAAATCAAAAGTAGAAAAACTTCTGGGCCGAATGGCGTCCCCCAAAAGTAGTGAATGAAGGTCCTCTTCAAGGAGAAACCAAGTTTTAGGCATGTAATTGGCTCGTAATTGTAGTCAATGCTAGATTGTGGTTCATACTTATTATCGACTGATGTTTTTTCGTATTGTGAATCCCCTAAAGGCTTACCTTACAATAGTCTGTAAACATTTAGTATTCGCCTACTTCTAGCAAAAGCGATAAAAGTACCATCATACCATATTTACGTGTTCACAGCATTATTGGCTTTTGCTAAGTCACTACGATTTCGACCACTTAAGCTATGTTTTCTTTGTAATTTACGTAAAGCGACTTCTTATATGAGCATTCTGCTGAACTTCTTCAGAATTATCGTGCGTTCTCTAACGGCAGAAATAGCATGTGTCAGTTTTACGTCCTAAACGAGATCTACTCCCAATTTAAGTAACGAACGGACAGCTGAGGCCGGGTCTTCTTGCCCGTAAAGGTAGTACTAATAGGTGCGCTAATGAACCACTGACACAGGAGCATAACATAACACTATGGAATCAGCAGAAATTAAATGTTAATCGCTGCGATTCACCTCGCGCAGGCGTAAGGTCTATAACAATCGTGTATATAGATGAGCACCTACCATTATCTTTGCCACACTACTTCTATGAAGAATGAAGAAAAAATATTTTAAAAAAATCATCTTCTTTTTGCACACGCTATGCTTATTGTGATGGTCAAACTAAGACGTAAGAGGCTAGACTTCAGGATCTCAGTCAATCGATCTATTTGCTAATATAATGTTTATACGTGCCGATCATGTCGAAATTTGCGTTTTATGATCCACGTAATGTCTACTAGCTTTACTTGACGTGCAGGCGAATATTAAAATTGTTTACAGTCTCCTTTAGGAAACGTTAAAAATATGAGTGTTCAGATATAGTATGTTAACGTGGTTTAATACTCATCTAGGAATGCGCCTGACCGAGCCTATTGCAACTGTCTAGCAGGCCAACAGCCACCGTTATGTGATGTGCCGTTAATATCATTACCACGGATATTCCACCAAATCTGCTGATTGCAGAAACCTGTCAAACCGTTTAATGGACTTCGCAGAGCGTAAGAAAAGACTTCTGGTGTTTAGCACAAAGCATATCATCTTACTGTTGGATGACAGTTTCTATTGTTGATGGTCACATTACTTAAAACAGACCCAAACAGAGAATATTAACAAGTAGCGCACGGCATGCTGGACCTAGAAGACACGCCCGATACACGCGTGCAGAACGCACCTGTACACTGCCCACACATCTGGAAACATGCTAATCATAGACGGGCATTGATGCGTTCCACTTTAGACGGACCGCAAACTACCAACAGACAGCTGGGATCTTAACCTGCAACGCGGCGACGAAAAATTACCTATTCTTAATGGATACGAATACAAGTTTTAATCTGCTATATTTAGTTTGAGTCATCCTAGAATTGAGTTAACCCAAACACAGCAGCTTATAATCGTAGTTCCAATTTCCTAAAGTGAGCGATGCAAACTTTTATGACACTCGTTGTTACCATTCACGGTACTCGATGACAATAAACGAAGAGTTTCACGTGTCTCGATTCGGATATATTTACCCGAACGGTTCCCGTTCTGGCCAACAAACTTTACCCGAACTGAGATAAATCTGTCAAGACATAGTAGTCCCTCGATGGCCTTTATACTGTGTCGCAACGTACGTAAGAACATTATAGAACAGAAAGTCGTGTACATATATATACTTGCACAACAATAAGCTGCATAGCCTACTAAATGTGATTAGTTGTACCTGATGCTATCGCTGATGAATGTCCTTTTCACAATAACGGCAATAGACGTCCATTACATTATTATCAGAGAGCTTGCCATGTGATGAAAACATATCACGTCAGGGGTCGTTTTTTGACCGCCGAAGAAATGTGATGCCCAGCGTTACGTAGGGGCGAGACGCCTTTACACGAAATCAGTCTCGTCTCAGTCTGATCGCATAAATACTAGTTAGTAACGAGCCGTATTTTACAGTAGCTAGCGGATAATATCAGTTAGTTCCAATATCGCTGTTCACAAATAACGTAAACATCGAGTAACGCTACACGATGCTGACGAAGATCAATTTATAGATGGCTTCTGTTGGATTTCATTTTGGGCAAAACAAGATAGATAATTGTTCAGACAGTTATGTCAAAATATAACCCGGTGTACAGACTTCGTGTGTTGTAACGTATAAGCGACCAAGGGCACCCAGGTCTGATTTTTCAATGATTTTTTAGAAGACCGACGAAACAAAATATAGCAAAATATATAAAATTTCGAACAAATTCTGAAAAACGTCTGTGGATGTAGCTTTTACAGAGCTAGTTATTTTAGCCGCCGAAAGGCCTATTTCAAGTTTAATTTACTGCAATACGTGAGAAGGACGGGACTTGGATGTGGGCCATCGTCCAACAACTAGCCAAGATGTTTTAATTATATA